TAGCGTGGAAGGACGGAAAAGGCATATTAGAGACGTTTATTGGCTTTAGTGAAAGAAAGAAAGAAAGAAAGAAAGAAAGAAGAGAAGAGAAGATAGGAGAGGAGACAACATTCTGATGTGTTTAACATTTGTTTCAGTGAAATGGAAAACATGTTTTCAGTTTGAAACGAGTTATAAACGATTTAGATTCCAATCAAGGCAGGACATAGCAACTAAATTCATTTTGGTCGAATCTGACTCTGTTAACGATGAAGCATTACAGATTAAATTAGGTGCACTTCCTGCATTGAGAGAAAGACCAGACACTATTTCTATGATCTTTAGCAAATGAATCGTTTCTTTTAGTTCCACTTACAGGTCTGAAGTCAATTTCAGATCCAGTAGATATTTTAAAAACATTTTTTTTTTAAATCGGTATCACCTCAGGCAAGACTGTATAACACACAAAGAGCTGCAGGGCGCGAAAAATTCAAGAACAGAAACATTAATGAGGATTAGAAAGAGGAAAGAGTAATCAGGAGGACAGTAGATAGCGATTAAATTTGCATTTAAATTTTTGTACATTAAAGTTGGCTGGAAATCATGGAGCTGGAAGGGAGTTCCGAAAGCAAGGCTTTAATGCCACTAAGACACAAGGGGTTACAGGGTGTGGAAGAATTAGGAACAGAAACATTAATAAAGAGCGGGAAGAGGAAAGAGTAATCCGGACGACAGTAGATTGGAATTGCATTTAAATTTTTGCAGATTCAAGTTGGCTGGAAAGCATGGAGACGGAAGGGAGTTCAACAAGCAAGGCCGTAAAGCCACTAAGACACAAGGATTACATGGTGTGGAAGAATTAGGAACAGAAACATTAATAATGAGTGGGAAGAGGAAAGAGTAATCCGGACGACAGTAGATAGCGATTGACATTGTATTTAAATTTTTGCACAGTTGGCTGAAAAGCATGCAATCGGAAGAGAGTCCACAAGAAAGGCATTAAAGCCACTAAGACACATGGGGCTACAAGGGAGCCGGAAGGGAGTTCCACAAGCGAGAAATGTGAGAAAAGAAAACATTAGCCTAAAACTAAGCAGCTGTAGACATAGTTGCCATTCGGGATTCTAGTCCTTATACGTATGTGGTCTTTGGTCTTTGGTGCAGATCCCTCGCAGGACTAAAAGGCATGTGCACAAATTAAGTGCATGAGTAACATCAAAACTAGGGAGATAATTGTCGAAACTTCATACGTCAAAATCGACGGGAGACTCCTTCACATATGTATACATATGTACACTTGAATATATATATATATATATATATATATATATATATATATATATATATATATATATATATATAATTATTTATTTTAAAGATTATAACATAAATATGTTATAAAATCACTACAAAAATAGCCATTTTGTTTCAATACCTCCGGTGTCTTATCAAGTGATTTTTATAACATATTTATGTCATAATTTTTAAATAAAAATTATATCTGCTCTACTCTGTATTGAGCACTCTTTTAAGAATAGTAATTTTTGGTTATTAGAATTTATTCCGTATACACCAATCATATACTTGGGTATATATATATATATATATATATATATATATATATATATATATATATATATGTCCAGGTTTACAAGGTTGCTATCCTCCTGACCATTTTGTAGTATAGTTCTTAATCGTGGACAACGTATCGCTGGCATATAAACCAAATTGACGTTTTCCGCAAAGGTTTCCTCAGGGCAATCTTTGGGATATCTCTCCCCGGGAACGTAGAAAATTCGGACCTGCTCACCATGGGAAGCACTGGTGGCATAGAGGAAAAATTACGAACAGAAACAATACAAGTAGGAAGAGGAAAGAGTAATCAGGAGGACAGTAGATAGCGACTGACATTGCATTTAAATTTTTGCAGATTAAATTTGGCTGGAAAGCATGTCGCCGGAAGGGAGTTCCACAAGCAAGGCAGTAAAGCCACTAAGACGTAAAGGATTACAGATGTGGAAGAATTAGGAACAGAAACATTTCGAGTGGGACGAGTAAAGTGTAATCAGGGAACAGTAAATAGCGATTGACATTGCATTTAAATTTTTGAAGATTAAAGTTGGCTAGAAAGTATGAAGCCGCAATGGAATTCCCCAAGCGAGAATGGGGAAAAATAAACTGTTTGCATAGAATTTATAGTTAAATTTAACCAGCTCAACTGTAACCTGATGAGATCTTGACCCCAATCTAGTAGTGCGCTTAAATTCAAAAGGTTTCGGTACCATAGCGATGAGGTTATCCGAACAATTGCCATGAAAGTATTTATAAAAACGAACAGAGATACAACCTTATAGCGGTTGGCAAGTGTCTAAAGCCGAGCAACCAGATCAGGATCAATAATAGTAAGGTTTCTTTTTTTAATCTTATCAAGGAGTAAAAAGCAGAACAAAAAAAAATTCAATTGAACCCATGATGATGATCTCAGAAAGAGATAGAAAGTACTTGGGAAATAAAAATGATTTTCACTGTTACAGTGCATTTCTTGCCTCATTTGATTGTAATATACGGGAAAATATTCGTGAATATGAAAGGATAATGATAAAAATAAGACATAATGTTTGTAATTTATTCAATTAGACATGCTTAAAAGAGAATTTGCTCTCTAAATACACACAAATATATATATATATATATATATATATATATATATATATATATATTGTGTATTTAGGTCGCAGTCCTTCATTTATAGATGTTTTATTAAAGACGAGAGACAAAGTACTACTATTAAACATTTTATTTAAGTTTTCTTCTGTTCGAACAAGTGTTTTACTTTTTTGGACACAAACTGTCCAAATGTTCTATAATTCCGAGCGCTTTCGGCCATACAGTTAGCCATCATCAAGGATGATTTTAGTTTTACTTTTCAATTGGGTGTATGGGTTAGGTGTAAGTTTTTAAATAGGGATGTGTTATTTTCAGTTTTCGGATGGAGTCTGGTAAGTTTGTCTGTGTGTTTAAATGGGTTCAAATAGAGCTGAGGTTTGTGTGTGTATTTAAATGGGTTCTAATAGAGCTGTGGTCGGATAGGTGTAATGTACGACGTCTGGATAAGCATGTAGTTGTGTGATCAATATAATTATTCATGAATTCGGTTTGATGAGGAACACAGATCCTTAAGGGGCGTTTGAACTCAAAAATAATATTCGTTCGTTGTCATTTTGATTTTGCTGGTGTGTTGTTATTTTTTAGGATAAGGTTTTAATTTCTTTATAATAGATTAGTTTTTTTAATAAAACACAGACACACATACACACACACATACCCACACACACACATATATATATATATATATATATATATATATATAAAAGTAACATATATATATATATATATATATATATATATATATCTTACTTATTATAAAAGGCAGATTGTGTGTGTGTGACTGTACGTTTATATATTGGATCGGATTTCCTACATTTTTCAACCGGTTTCAACAAAACTTCACAGGACTACGTAAAATTACCTTGCGGTGGTTCTGACAGCGCCAAAAATTGGAGAAACACAATTGTTTTTGCACGAAATCAATTTGTAAACACGATTAAGGGGCATCGCGAGAATGAAAGGGGGACAACTCATATCGAGTTATACTTATTATAAAACCCAGGTTGTTTGTGTGTGTTCGTTTATATATGGGATCGGATTTCCTACATTTTTCAACAGATTTCAACAAAACTTCACTTTTTTTTGGCAGGCAGTGTTTCTTATTGTCTTGCACACTTTTTCTTTATTTTTACATTCAGAATGCTTTAAAAATTCCATTTACAAGACAATTGTTTATAATAAAATTCTATTCAATCGGTAGACTCATAACGATTGAAAACAATGTTTTTGTTTGAGTTTGGGTTTGACCAATTCGTAAAAAAAAAAAAACTAATTAAGACATGCGTGTCCGTCAACCTTAATCAATAATCTTTGTCAATTTTATTTTTCAGTCTTTATGATGGTCGATACTTGATCTATCTCTTACTGCTACATCCCCGGGCAACGCCGGGCTCTACTGCTAGTATATATATAAAAGTGAACATTGAAGTTAACACTTAGAGGCGACAGGTTGTTTCATGCTAGACGCAATCGTCAGGCCACGAGTGCTGTTTTTTTTTTCTCAGCTATTCATATATACGGGTAAGTGGTGCATTGTGGGTAGTCTATTTTGGCGGTTATTGATTATTTCTATTTCTGAAGTCATCTTCAGTATACTTGCCATTCCCAACGACCTGAGTAAAATAAATTTATGTTTGCGTAAGATCTTCCATAGATATCATAGTTAGATAATTTGTGTAGCAAATTGCAGCCCTTATGACACCTTGTCAATAGCCATTGAGATGTGTAAAACAATTGTTCTAGTGAAAATGGTAGCTTTGTTTGCCTTTATTATGTTCATTGCATTGTAACTGATCTAGTTGTTGAGAGAATTTTAGTTATTTCTTCCTTAGGTACCTTGTTCTACTATTTTTAATTCAAGGGTTTTATAGACTATCCATATATATATTAATGGCAAGTACAGTTCTTGCTTTCCCATCAGCAAATCGTTTTATTTGAACCGGTCATAATTTCATAATGGCGGTGCTGATACTACTACCCATGACGGTAATTACGACAAATGTCACGAGACATGCCAATAACTTGATATATTTTGAAAATGATATCCAGTGATGCGACTGAGGGTCACTTGACGATAGTTCCTGCTTTTGTTTAAAGCATCAGTGCCAAGTAAACATCAGCAGCTTCGGACCAAACTCAAAATCTATTTCTACGATTCCGTTTCGCGCGCTGGCTGTCCGTTGCGCCATTCTGCACACGGTGATAAGTCACGGGGCTTATTCGCGTGTTCCTACTCAACGCGGTTCAACTTTCTGACACGGTGAAGAGGCTTCCGCCGGTTCATATATCACAATTAAAAGAGCTGCTGGAAACGTTAATTTCCCGTAGGAGATACTCGACGCGCAAAAGCGATATCAAGTGGTCGTGGCCGGGAATATCGAAAACAGCTTGAAGGAGGAAAGGTTATGGCCGGAGTCTAAGAAAGCGGGAGAGAGGCAGATAGAGAAGACGCTCGCCGACACTTCCGTCAGGTTTAAGGTGTCTAAGATTAGGTTCTTAATAGCAAAGGACTAAAGAACGGTTATAAAGGACTCTTCGCGTTAATTACTCGATGAGTGTTCTTTTGAGTTTAAAAGAAAAGAGAGTAAAAAAAGAACGACCGAAAGTCAAAAAGACGGGAAAATAAAAAAAAAACAGTGAACAAAAGGTTGGGGTCTAAAACAGAAACGATCACATTAGATTCAATTTTAAAAGAGTTTGCGCATTCAAAGACAACCCATGACTCCACTGGATGTTTTTAGCCATTTGCACTCCAAATGTAAGCAACGTACAGTCTGGTCAGTACATAGATGGGTGACCATGTGGTCAGTAGCGAGATGGATGTCCACTTAAGAATATCAGGTGCTGTAACCTAATACGCGCGAGTGACATCATGTGTCTTAAGTCGCACCACTTTGAGACACCGTTTCCCGTACAATCACCGAAGGTAAGCAACTTAGAGCCTGGTCAGTAGCTAGATGGGTGACCACTTGTTAATACCAGGTGTTGTAACCTAATATGCGCAAGTGATATAATTTGCTTACGGCCGCATTATTTTGAAACAGCGGTTCCCGTACGGTCATCGAAGGTAAGCAACTTAGAGTCTGGTCAGTAGCTCGATGGGTGACCACTTGGGAATATCAGGTGCTATAATCTGGAATACGCGAGTGATATAAAGGGTTTACGCCCACATCACATTCAAATGACCGAAGGTAAGCAACGTAGAGTCTGGTCAGTACCTAGTTGGGTGACCACTTGGGAATACTAAGTGCTGTAAGCTCGGATGCGCGAGTGATATAATGGGCTTACACCCGCATCACATTCAAATCACCAAAGGTAAGCAACGTAGAGTCTGGTCAGTACCTAGATGGGTGACCACTTAGGAATACTAAGTGTTGTAAGCTCGGATGTGCGAGTGATATAATGGGCTTACGGCCACTTCACGTTGAAACACTGGTCCCGTACCATCACTATAGTTAAGCAACGTCGATCCTGGTCAATACTTAGAGGGGTTTTGGAATACCAGATGCTGTAAATTTGTATGCTGGATGTGGAAATGATATAATGCGCTTGTGGTGACATTACATTGAAATGCCGGTTTCCGTATGATCACCGAAGTTAAGCAAGGGCAAGCCTGGTCACTACCAAGATTGGTGACCGCTTTGGCATACGAGATGTTGTAAACTTAGATGTTGGATGTGGGAGTAATATAATGGGCTGACAACCACATCACGTTGAAACAACGTTAAGCAACTTCGGGTCTGGTGAGTACCTTGATGGGTGACCGCTTGGAAATAACACGTGCTGTAAGCTTGGATGTGCGGGTGATGTAATATATAAGGACTCTGAATTGTTAATCGGAGAACTGAGTTCGAACTCCCGTTAGATCTGTTATATTCACCTATGCGCAAATACCCTAATTAGTAAGACTTCTATCACTAAAACCTTTAATATCAAAATTCTCACAATCTGAATATATATTCTGGCTTTAAATAACCTGAAATGGGTTGATAAACCGTCGAAAACGAATCAGTCAAAACACGCAAGCACTTCACAGCCACTACATGTTCCCTTTTCTCGATGATTCACACACCTGACCGATTTTTGAACAGGTGTAGAGGTTTATCCCTTTCTCCCTGTCTATGATTGAGTTTCCGGTTCTTAAGTAATTTCCATCTCTTTACCTCCGTGTGAGCTTTTGCGTCTTAGTGGCATTATCACCTTGTTTGAGGTGAATTCATTTTTTTAAAAAAAAGGATGACGGGAATGTGAAAGAATACGAATCAAAGAAATGCTTATTAAGGAAAAAGAACAAGTCATATTAAAGGCAAGCGGCACAGAGGAAAGACCAGTGTAACCTACATAACAACTTTGTATAAATCGTTGGAAGAACAGGGATTAGGAGAGATAAGGCTAACATTAATAAGGGGTACAAAAGACAAGAAATTGTGGAGAGCCATGATCGCCAACGTTCTGAAAAAAAACGACATTTGGAAAAACAAAGATGAGGACAACAGTCTGAATAATGTAAATAATGTACATAATACCTCATCTCAGAAATATACTGAAGGGCCGAAACGTTGTAATAAATATGGCGACAAAGATGAGGACAATAGTCCGAATAATGTAAATAGTGTACATAATACCTCATCTCATAAATATAGACAGATTCTGAAGGGCCGAAACGTTGTAATAAATATGGCGACAAAGATGAGGACAATAGCCCGAATAATGTAAATAGTGTACATAATACCTCATCTTATAACTATAGACAAATATGGAAAAACAAGTAGTAGTAGTATCAGGTACTTTGTCATGATGATTTCTTTTACATCACTGGAAACGGGCACGTAATGAGGAAAGAGGGCTTGGAAAATCTGATACTCACAGGTCAGATTGAGAGAAAGAGAGACAAAGGAAAGCAACACCTACCATACTTGATAAACTTGAGTAAATGGATGGAAGAACACAGTTTGACCGAATTGACAAAAAGACAAAACTTATTAAGAGCTACAAGGGAAAGGAGGATGTGGAGGGCCTTGATCGCCTACTCTCCGAAGGATCACGGCATATAAAAGACTAGAAGCATATTTTTGTCTGATGAAGACTAATCAACATACATTATTTATTCTCGGATTTTGCTTTCCGTGGAAACAAAGACGAAGCGTTATTTTCGGAGCGTCCGGTAGAAGGAAAATAATCTCACTTTAATCCTGTAGAAAAAAAACCCCAAAGAAACAGTGGTTCTACGGTTTGCAGCATTTATCAGTGTAGATTTTATTTTCATCTATGCCAGAACATTTCTTCCAATATACGAGGTCTGATCAAAAATTATCGGGACTGGCAAAATGAAAAGAAAACTATAACACATATCAATTCGCCACTTAATCTCCTTCAAAGTAGTCCTCTTCCGAAGTCACGCAGTTCACCCACCATCGTCTCTATTGATGGAAAGATTCCTGGAACTTTTTTTTTTTACAGATAGTGAACAACTGCCTGGTCGGATTCTCTTGGATTTCCGTGATGAAATCTTCCTTTCAAGTGGCATTCGATTTGGGGTAAGAGGAAAAGCTCTCAAAGAGCGTAATCCTAGGAATATGGACGTTGTCAGACCAGGGGTGGGGAATGTTGTCCTTGACCCAAAACTACTGCACAAATCATGGTCACTGATAGAACCTCTGTGGTGTGATGAGACGACCACACTCTACACACTTTCCTTCCAAGTACTGCTATAAACTGCAGAAATGAGAGGGAATGTTATAACTTAGTGTGTATGCGCGACAGAGTTCAAAGTCAGTCTGTGCCAACCATCCTCACTCTGAGTATTTTAGGTATGTTACTATAGCAACAGTCCCGATTCTGTTATATCAGACATTGTATTTAAATTATTTACAGTCGATATAGCGTCGTCAATCTTTTGTCGTTATTATCACAACGTTTCGACCGTTGTGGCCTCCTTCTTCAGATGTCTGTCACTCCAGATAACTTTCGGGTAATTTCGCACTGAACCTCTCTATATAATCAAGGGGTGTAGGTAGATTGCGCTTGTTCCGTTCTCTATGTCTCGGGTTGACGATAATTGCTATCGCAGTGGTAATTTTTTGCCGTTTCTTTATAAGGAAACATTCGACATTCATTGACCGAGCAGCCAGTGCTACGTGATTTAAAATTTAATTCACTCCCTGGTAGCAGGAGTTGGGATCATAGTGTAACATCTAAGTTCGGGTGGACTACATTTTATCTCTAAAACCGTGTTTCGATCCTTGGACAAATCACAGAAAATAAATAAGGGATGACTGGGCCCTGCGGATTCCAACGCTGTGGCAGCACCTCCCTCGTCGCACTAAAGAGTGGGTGGAATATCGACCTCAGCGTGTTGACGTTGTTTTCGGGATCAGAGTAATTTTTGGCCTCAACCAATATGTACGCGCCTGAGCTCCCCACTTTAAACCGACCTTGTGTCTTACGCAGTCACTGTTAATAAGTATTAAGTGTTATATCAGTTCTCCTCATCTCTATGATAAAGGCAATATTAACCGTTTCCTTATAAGGAAACATTCGACATTCAATGAAAGAACTGCCGGTGCTAATTGCGTTAGCCTTTTTTCACGCCACGATCATTGTGTTCGTATCAAATGTTAGTATCGCTTCTACTCATTTCTAATGTTAATGGTAATATTGGTCGTTTCCTTATGAGGAAACATTCGGCATTCATTGACCGAACAGCCAGTACCAGACGAGCTATGCTTCTCTTTACTCCCTGGATATGTAGGATCTATTCTCCTCATTACCAATGGTAATGCTAATATTAGCCGTTTCCTTATAAGGAAACATTCGACATTCATTAACCGTGAAATTTCTCAAATTTTCTCTTAAGACATTTTTTTTCAGGGAAATAGTTTTTCTCTATTCCAGTAGCTGTTATCGCTCTTTCCAGTACTGATAGGGCTTCCCTTCTAACCTTTTGTTTGAATAATTGTGGAGTTTCTGTTATTTGGTACAGTTCTTTTAGAAGTTGGACATTAGATGTCCAATTAGAAGACGGGCATAATTCATAATGTTTTCCGTACAAGGAAACTTAGGTCTGAAGTTAATCTGTGCAAAATTATTGCAATTTAAAATGGAATAGCTTTCTTCAGATGAAAAGAAAAATTAGTTTTGTTTTCGGCTAGACTGAAGCCGTTTTGTTTCTCCTTCTGAAAGACAGAAATGGCGGAATTAATTTTTGGCGTTCGTAAACGAAAGCGGCGGGAACAACATTACCGTCTGCTGCAATCATTTCTCTTTCAGACGACGATAATTGAACTTGTGAAATTATAGCGAATACCTCTAAGCTTAAATGGTTTGCAACTGAGGCCAGAGCAAATTAATATTAAAACTGTATAATAAAATATGATTCGAGCTTTATTAAATATGGTGGCAGATTTCAAGTCTACAAATCTAATCGTTACGTGAAATAATTAGGTAAAAATTGTGACCGGATCTGCTTCGTTCATATCACACCGATGCCCTTGGAGAAGTTTCAATCTATTTTCTCAAGCTTCTAAAATTCATTAATTACTTAAATTAATATGTATACGTGTGCGTGTATAGGTTATTGACTACATAATATTGATCAACAATATTTTGAAATAACTTGTTATTGTTATCGAGGTGACGTTGACACAACAAATTTGCTATACATATATATATATATATATATATATATATATATATATATATATATATATATATATATAATATATTTTTAGTATGTTACTTAAAAATCGAAAACTGAAAATAAAATAAAATAAAATAAATAAACAAAATGACAATAAAATAAGTAAAACAAATCAACCCAAACAAATTTACCAAATCACACCCGTTAGAATAGACGAAATAGAAAAAATAAATAAAAAACAAAAAACAACGAACCCAAATAAATAAAGTAAATAATAAACAAAGTAGAAAACCATTATGACCAAAATATTAGTTAGACTATAAAAATCAAACCAAAAATATATATGGTGCAATGAATAAAATGTCGTCTAAATGAAACAAAAATCAAAATAACACTGACATTTCATATTGACATATATATTTACCATAATTACACAAAAATATCTTGAAATACTAAAGAGTAAATTTATTCAACAAAATCGCCATTGTCTTCA